TAAACAGTTAGAGATTAGAGCGCTTAGGAATTTTCATATGAAGCACTGAACTTTTCTCAACCTACAGTTTAGAACTCTTGCAATACGTATCTTCAAGTTATCGTCCGCAACGAGACATTTATTCGACAAAGTAGATGTAGGTATGCCCATGCTTCCAAATTAGCGAGAAAATATCTCACTAAATCTCGTGAAGTCAAAAATGTTTAATCAATTGAATTATTAGTGCGAGAGCAAATTGCTAGCCATTATTTCTTTAAGTAAACAGTATAGACTGACCTAACAGAACACTTGCTGTGAGACAATTGACCGATTTTGTCTATCGCATTGACAGGTGGTCATCGTTTCTTGGCATAATTATGGCCTTCAATGACTCCTTAGGATTAATCTTTCTAAATGGGGAAAATGGCCGCTAACCGATATTGCTTGTGGATGCAAAGGGGAATTATTATGTCTGCAAGAAATTTTTCGAGTTCTTTTCTCGGAGCGTTGTAACTCGTTCAATTTGAACCTTTTCCATATATCAAACGTCGCACATACGTAGAGCGTTCTTAAAGCAGTGCAATAAATAAAATAATGTAAGATGGTTAAAATCACTTTGTTGGAACTCAGGTAAGTTAGTGTTACGGGCGAAAAGTAGGGCAAAAGCTCAACTGACGCTTTTTATATTGTTAAGCCGGAAAAATAGGTAATTTCCAGCTTAACTTCTATATCTTGTTAATCTACAGAGAATAATTTGAAACGAATCAATGGCAATAATCATCATTTTGTCAATATCCTAATCTCTTGCATATTTTGAGTAGGGTATGCTAGGCTTGAGTAAGTTTGCTAGTTCCTGTCTCGTCTAACTCGCGCAATCTGGTAAATCAAATAACAGCCGCCGCTAATAGGTGGTTTCCTTCCCACTTCATCCATAATACTGCATGATGACTTGCTTCGGGAACCGAATATTGGTCCACAAATCAAGAGTTACGTTTCCGCCATTTTCAAATTCTTTTTGGGACAAAAATTAGTGAGACAAAGTACCTGACTAGTT